AGCAGGTAATTAACTCACCCTACCTTAATCTGACGCGCTCGAGAATTTCTGATGATCCATTTTTTTAAACTAATCTGGTCCTTTATCCCTCACAGGCGGCATTAACCGGGTACAAGGTATCCCCCTGTATATTAATCTACTGCGCCTTAGTAAATCCCGAAATACCCGCTTGGGCTCCCCTATTATTATATTTATCTACCTTGACGATGCTAAATCTCTTATACTGATAATAAGTAAGTAAATTGATTGATTGAACGTGAATCGCTACTTTCGCACTTAGCGCGTCTAAAGAATTTTCTAGTAGTGCTTGTGTTTTTCCTTAAATAAAACGTGAAACGGCATTTCTGAAAACCCGAAACGAAATTTGTTATCCAAATCGAAGAGCCCCCGTAAAACAAACACAATGCGACTAATTAATAACGAAATGGATATTTATGTGTTATCACCTTTTGTTTCAGTTGAATTCATTGATGAAAGACGTCGTGGCGGTGGTGATCGTGGAATGGTGTCCTTTACAGACAAGTAAAAACAAATTTCCTGGAGCTCTACGCTCCCCCAACATGGCTGTATAGTGGTCAGATGAGGAGGGAAATAGTTCGAGGAACTTAAGGTAAGGAAATATTATGTTACAATTATATATTAGGAGACAAAAAAGTTATTCCATCGAAATGAAACTATCAACAAGCACTTTTGCTCAATAGTCCAATGCCGATGATTTTTAAAACCAACAAAAACAGTATTCGGATGAAAATCTTAGGAGAAGGAAGAAAATATGACCAGAAAAAGGGCCATCTAGGCAAAGTTGTAGGTAATAAAAAGGCTACAATATTCGTACCCACACTTTTTCCACCTTTTTTTATCTTCTACAATTTTGTTTACCAAATTTGGTGAAAATTTATGTTTTCATGTCCCAAACACACTGTTTTTTTATTTACAGTATTAATTTTTCCTCTTTATTTTGATTCGATATCGAAAAAGCACCCTAATTTTCAATCGAAAACTTGTCAAAATATATGTTTAAAAAAAATCGGCATGGTTTTTGTTCGTGGAAATCTCTACTTTTTGATGGTGTGAAAAAATATACATCATTCTTGCAAATCTTCTTATAAAATCTAAAAAATGAAGAGACTTGAATCTTAAAAATTTTTACTTTAGTTACTTGAAAAATGTAAGTTCCATGTTACATTGATAAACAAAAAAATTTCAAATCGATGAAATGAAGAGACTGCAAAAAATACTGCAAAAAATGCTAAAATATTTCATTTTCTGAATATTGAAAATATTAGTATCTGAAGAGAACTTTACCGAATTTCAGTAAAAAAGCTGGTTTAGTGAATTCTAAGTGAATTTATGTTATAATATATAAATATGCATGTCATTTCAATTTAAAAAAAATTATGCTCGAGATTGTATGATAGAATTCAAATAATNACCCTTTCGGCAGTAGTGAAAGAAATGTTTAAACAAATAACAATACACGACCCGTTTCAACAAAACAATCGAACGTTGTTATTTAACAAAAAATTGATAAGAAGAACTGCTTAAATTTTTTTTTATTTAGGCATACAAGTTACCGAGTGGTGTGTCTAATGTATTATTAACATGGCAATTTTAACTTCAAATTATCTCGAAAACTAATCGTTACAAAAATTTTCTTTTAACAAAGTTGTAAAGGTATTCGAAAGACCTTTAAAACAAGGTGCCACTCGACCTACTTTCCCTATCTAAATAAGGGTCGTCGGACGCACCCCTCCGAGGGAGTGTATACTACAAAAAATCTTATTAGTCTGAAAGGTGTCCCCCTTCAATTAGAAATCGACGACACACAAAACAAACTAAACTGTGTTCGAGATGAGCGTACCGACATAAAAAAAAAATGCTAATCGATAATACGTATCCGGCGAAAATTGAACATTTACCTTTTTGAACAGATCTCAACGTGTTTGAACAAATCTCCATATTAATCATTCAATGACATCGTCAAAAGTTTATCAGCACCACCGATCACATGAATAATCAATTGTTTCCGATTCGGAAGCGGACCAAAAATCATTTCGATTTTCCCATACTAATAACCGCATTAGACCTTCTTATCGGTGATTTATATTCCCGTTGTATAGTCTAGAGAGATCACGCCTGCTATATCTGCAACCATGAACGAGGTTGCTGATAGCGTTTTTTGAATTGTCGGCGATATTTGGCGTTATCGATGAACTAATAACGAATTTCTAATTAGTTCCAAGGCAGATTTGATAGAGGTCGAGAGAACGAACAAGGTGAAGACGGTGACCTCAACCGTATCAGAGAGATCTTGGGGTCGTTTTTGCCCTGTTCAATGTCATAATAATATTTGAAGTGAAGAGCATTCGTTTTTATGGCTTACTAGTTGTTGTCCGAGGCTTCGCNACGGCTAATTAACGCTCATCATGAAAAGCCCTGTATACATATACAGGTGGAGCTAATATAAAGCGTGTAAAAAAAATAAAATATAATTCGATTGTGTTCAACATCGATAAGTTCTATGGCTTTATGTAACTGATGACTTTTAATAAGTCTGAAATGAGAATAAATCTATTTACAAAAAAAAAAGTTGTATAAAAGCGTGGAGAACTAAATATCCATTGTTATAAATACTTGTTTAGGGCGGTTCGCCAGATTGGAATTATAATAACGACATAATTAATTTGAGGTTATATTGCGAATTAATCCACTGCAGATGTAGAAGTCGTGCGAGAGGAACGTTGCATTCAGTGTTACCAGGTCTACGGTTTTTGCAGTCATTCTCCTGTTTTGGCTACTAACACAATTTAAATTTGAAATGTACCGTCATCAAAAATTAAATAGTGATTTAAAAGATTTTTATTAGCTGATTCCGTCACTTTCATGCAAATTTTATTATGAGCTGTTTTGGGGTTATCTGCGAAAATAAAAATGAGGTCTAACCTTGACTATCCCAATTAATTGAACTGATAACACATGTAACAGCTGATTGCAGTTCGATTTGTTTACAAAGTATCGCATCGAGTCTTGATTTATTGGTTTTTGCCATCTCATGTGAATGTTTATGGCAGAATAACGAGATCTTTGTTCAGTCAATAGTCCGAAAATCCAGAATAGTCTGGCCTTTTGAGAATTCTGAGAAGAGCGATCAGATAATCGTGGAAAGGAAATAAATATAAACATATCAATGCAGATTTCGCAATAAAAATGCCAAACCAAAATAGAAAATACACACATTTTCATTGGAGATATGAAAGAAAGAACATTACTAACGTTTGGATCATTTAGTAATTATACAGCACGGATGTAACGGATGTAAAAACTCCCTACTTCCCAAACCCTTTCCTTCCCAAAAATCTATTCCTCCTAAAATTGAAACAATTTTTTCAAAAGCAGTATTTCACCACAGGAATCTAGCCTTATCCGGAAATATATTTGATGTGATGAATTCCCTTCAATTGATTATACAATTTTACATAATTTATCGAAAAATCACGGAAGCGTAGTTTCTTGGAAATTCGACTGTGAAGTCGAAATTTCGAGTTTAAAATCAAAATTGTGAAATCAAATTCGAAATTTTGAGGTTATAGTCCAAATTTCGAGTTTTCTTGAATAAATTATGGATTTTCATTAGGTATCGGCCGATTCCATTACATTGACATTTCCAAATTAAAGTTGACATCTGGAAATTCCGACTTCAATCTCGAAATTTGAATTTTAATCTCGAAATGTCGACTTTGAACTCAAAATTTTGACTTTAATCCTGAAGTTTCTATTTTAATCTCAAAATGTTAACTATAATCCCGAAATGTCGACTTTTATCTCGAAATATCGACTATAAAGTAGAAATTTCGACTTCAGTCTCAAAATTTCGACTTCAATCCCGAAATTTCAACTTCAATCGCTAAATATCGACTTTAAACAACNTCAACTCGAAATTACAACTTTAATCTCGAAATATCGACTTTAAAGTCGAAATTTCGACTTCAGTCTCAAAATTTCGAATTCAATCCCGAAATTTCAACTTCAATCGCGAAATGTCGACTTTAAACAACTCAAAACTTTGACTTTAATCCTGAAGTTTCTATTTTAATCTCAAAATGTTACTTTAATCTCGAAACGTCGATTTTAATCTCGAAATATCGACTTTAAAGTCGAAATTTCGACTTCAGTCTCAAAATTTCGATTTCAGTCCCGAAATTTCAACTCCAATCGCGAAATGTCGACTTTAAACAACTTAAAATTTTGACTTTAATCCTGAAGTTTCTATTTTAATCTCAAAATTTCGACATCAGTCGCAAAATGTCGTCGTTGGACTCAAAATGTCGACTTTAAACTGGAAATTCCGGCATTAATCTCGAAAATTCGATCTAAATCTCGACATTTCGACTATAATCTCGAAATTTCGACTCTGGTCTCGAAAATTTGACTTTTAATTCAAAATTTCGACTAAAATCTCAAAATTTCGATTTGAGCCTCAAAATTTCGACTTCAATCGCGAAATTTCGACTTCAATCGCGAAACACGACTTACAACTTAAAATTTCGACTTTGATCTTAAGTCTCGAAATTTCAACTGCAATCGCAAAATTTCAACTTCAACCGCGAAAAGCGACTTAGCACTCAAATTTTCGACTGTAATCCTGAAATTTTGACTTTAATCCCGAAATTTCGACTTTAAACTTGAAATTTTTACTTTACTCTCGAAATTTCAGTCGACATTTCCAAGAAACAAAAAAAACTACGTGGCCCTTTTACGCTTCCGTAAAAAATAAAAAAGTTATTCAAGATAAAAATCTGTTGAAATTTCGAGGCGATAGTTTTTATACCTTTGAAACCATCAGAGGTCTTAAAATACTCTGAAGTTCATTTACTCTTCCATTTCACGTTACAAGTAATCAAAAGACTGGAATTGGCACTTTTCCCAATTCACTTTGCTTTTATTTTAAAAAATTGGCAACTGCACCAACGGATACCTACAACATCATGATCTTAAACGACTGAAAAACCTCCTACAAGCGTCCGTAGTTGCATGAAGAAACGAAAGTCAACATCAACACCATATAATTATTATCTCGCCATTATTTCTGCAGGCCGACAAAGAATTATTGAGGCGAGTCTGTTCTCATTGGAAATAACGCGTGGTGCGATTTCTAAGCGAATGCGTTTTCTTCGACAGATGGTGGAAACGCTGAGCTTTCCTGGAAATTATGAAATATTGTGACACCGCGGTCTCGGGTTTTCCTGAGGTGTGAAGAAAATTTCAGTGATAGTTGTCTAGTTGTGCCACGATCAGGGGTTTTTCGGTAAGTAATGCCTTTTTTTTGTTGGTTCGTATTGAAAAAAGACATCGTTTGTCATAATCTCTTGTTAGAGATTATTTTTGGCTTCCGAATCTAAACTGATCTAAATTTTGTAACATTTCCATTCTCGTTTCTGGATCTTGATCATGAGAGCGGTACATTTGCCCACTTGGAATGGCTAGCTCTCCATTTGCGGAGGCAACTACAGATGTTTCTAGAATTACTGTACCCCTTTTCAACACCTGTTTCTGTAGACCAACTCAGTTACACCGGGATAAAAGACACTTCAAAAAGACCAATAAAACAAG